GCGCCCGCACCCCCCTCCCACCCTCCGCGGGCAGCCCACTTCTTCCTTCCCCGCAGCGCGCCCCCTCCGCCGCGACCCCTCTTTTTCGGCATACACTTGGCGCCGTGCCCGCATCCCCCCCCTCCGCGGTCAGCCCACCTCCTCCTCTGCCGCCAGCTAGCGCGCCCCCTCCGCCCAGACCACTTTCTTTCAGCACTGCGCCGGCACCACGCCGTCCCCCCTCCCCAGCAGCCAGCCAACCTCCTCTCCTCCTCCCACCAGCAAACGCGCCCCCCACCCCAACCCACCCGGGCGCACGTCCTCCTCGCCCCCACGCGCCCCGCCTTCGCCCCTACCCTTATCTTCCAGCACGGCACGAACACCGCGCCACTTGCCCCCCCACGGTCAGCCCAGCTCCTTCCTCGCCCACCAGCCAACCGGCCCCCATCCTCCCGGCCCTTTTAACTCGTATTTCGGCGCGGCATCGGAACTGCGCCCCCCATGTGCGCCCCCACGGCCAGCCCACATCCTCCTTGCCCGCCAACCCGCGCGCCCCCTCCGCCCTGACCGCTCTATTTCGGCACAACCGTGGCGCCGCGCCCTTGCTTCCCCCCACGGCCAGCCTAGTCCCTCCCCGCCCGCCAGCCAACGCGCTTCCTCGCCCTGACCTTTCCATTCCGGCACAGCACTGGCGCCGCACCCCTTCCCCCACCCGCGGCCAGCCCAGCTCCTCCTCGCCCGCCAGCCAACGCACTCCCCCGCCCCGCCCTGCAGACCCCTGTTCGGCGTCTTCGCACCTGTGAATGCTGCTACCCCCCTATTTCCCCTGCTCGTCTACTGACTCCGTGTCCTGCTCCCGTCGCTCCCCTTTCCTCCTCGCCCTCCACCCTCCTCGTCCTCCGTCCCCCATCCTCTCTCTCCTCATCATCGTCCTCCCGTGTCCTCATTTCTCTCCGTTGTTATTCGCTTCCCCCGCTTTTAGCCCCTCATTATCCTCCCCCTCCTCCTGTTCAACCTCATCTTTCTCGTCCTCCAGCTCCCCTCCCCCTCCTCGTCCTCCTCCTCGTCCTCCTCCTCCTCCACCTCCTCCCACTCTCCCTCTCATGTACGTACAAGAGCCATGGCGTGCGTGCCACTTGCTTGGTGTGTGACATTGGCATGTGTTCTTGGCTGAGTAGTAGAACGTGCTCTTGATATGAGATTGGTGCAGGTTGTCGATGTACGCATGTATGTTGTAGATGTGCGCTGTTGGCGCGTGCTCTCGGTGTACGTCATTGACGACTGTGGTTGGTGTATAATATTACAATTTGTTTTCGCCGTGTGATCTTGATGCGCGATCCCAGTGTGTCCCCTGTATGTATGTTATCGATGCCCGTGCACGGTATGACGCCTAAAGGCGTGACGCCGAGACGCCTGCATGGCGGGGTTGTCTCTTATCTACGCCTGCTCTATACGATTATCGGTATGTCGTTATTGGGCTATCGGGGGTATGGCGGGCGCTTTATGCAGGGCGGGCGAGGCGGGTGGTACACCTTCTTCTGTCAATCTGGCGCCCTCGAACTGCCGGGTGGGCAACATTTTAACACGCCCTCCTCCTCGCTCCTCCTCGCTCCTCTTTCCTCCTCCCCGTTCCTCCTCCTCCTCCTCCTCCTCCTTTTCCTCGTCCTCCTTTTCCTCCTCCTCCCCCTCCTCCTCGCTCCTCCTCCTCGTTTCCCCCTCCTCCTCCTCCTCCTCCTCTTCCTCCTCCTCCTCCTCCCCTCCCTCCTCCTCCTCCTCCTCCCTCCTCCTCCTCCTCCTCCGCTTCTCCTGGGGGCGCCGCGAGAGGCGAGGGTCGCAGGGCGCTCTCTCGCCGGGAGCGGGGCGCGCGCAGCGCTGTCCGACGCACGGCGCGGCAAGCACGGGACGGGGCCGCACACGGAGGAGAAGAGCGCGCGCTGGGCGGCACGACCCGCCCTCCTCGCCCCCGCTCTGCTTCGCCTCCTTTCCCGCCCCCTTTCCTTTTCCTCCTCCTCCTCGTCCCCCCTCTTCCTCCTCCTCCCTCCTCCTCCTCCCTCTCTCCTCCTCTCTTCCTCCCCGTCCTCCCCTTCCTCCTCCTCCTCCTCCTCCTCCTCCTCCTCCTCCTCCTCCTCCTCCTCCGTACCCCCAGGCGCAAACCGGAGTGTCCTCGGGTGGAGCGTGCAAAAAGAGGTGGGCGTGCTGGGCCGCAGCCTATGGCCTTGCCTCTGCCGGCGTGCCAGCAGCACGCAACCCGTAATTCAGTAGAAGAAGAAACGGCATAATCATAAAACTGTTGGCGTTCCGCGCGGATTTCTTTGATCTGCGCCGGGGGGGCCCAGCACGGATCCAAGAAACCCGCGCGGAGCGCCAAAAGTTTATGTGTATGTCATTTTGTGTTTCTTCTTCGACTGATTTCATGCGAAGACCAGCGGCGGCTGCCGCCGGCGAAGCGCCAGGCCCCGGACGTCCTCGGGTCCCTGCGGGGGTTGTTTTCTACACGAGACGCTGCAGATTTCGTCGAGGTGCCGACAGCCTGGTGCCCTGGGCGCGCTGCTAGGCGCTGCTGGGGGGCCCCTGCGTCACAGTCATCGGCCTGACCTAAGGAACGAAACGTAAGGAACGACGCCCCTTTTTTTCCCGAGGGCAAACGCAGAAGGAACGAGAGATGAGACACAACGCATAAAGAACGATGAATGACGCATGCAAGCCTCAGGAACAACCAAGCTCCTTTTGAAAGCTAAGTGTTTTTTAGTCAAGCCGCTCACTGTACTGTTCCAGCGCTTTGCTCGGCACATGCATGTCACATACGGCTTAAGATGGCCTCTTGGGCGCCTCCTGGGCCGTCTTGGGGTCTCAGAGGGGCGGCTCGCGAGGCCCAAATCAGCAACATCCATGTGTTTCCTGCATGATGTGATCATTACAGCCCGTTTGGTCTTCAGAGCGTCCAAGACGGCCCACGAGGCGCCCAAGATCGCCCAAAAACTCCCAAAAGGGGGCCCGAGAGGCCCCCTAGACAACCCGAGGCCCCCAAGAGGCTCCGAAAGAACCAAATCAGGCCCCTAAGGCCCCCAAGACGCCCCAACACTTCCCCCAAACCGCCTCCAAGAGGCTTCCGAGAGGTCTCCCAATAGATCTGTTCACAGGCATACAGGGGGCCTACGACGGGCAACCAAGGCACGGTGGCGATATAGGCCGAAGGTCACAAGATCTGCCGCCCCTTGTGGCTTACAACAAGGGTGCTTGTGGGTTGCCACAAGGATGCACGCCGTGCTGGGTAGTTGGTACTGTCTGGTAAAATGTCACGTCTATTGAAGGCTTTCAGCCCCAACCCGCCAGCCATCCAGCAAGATGCGCAAGCTCGCAGAAAGAAAATAATTCACTGCGTCGAGCTCCCCATATGTGCATCCCTTTGCATTGGCAGTTCCGCCGTGAATGTCTAGGCGCAAGAAGTTTCGAATATGAACGAGCTTGGATCTTGACAGCCTGGGAGAGCGTCTAACTGTGAATGACTTTGAGTGTGTATGAGCCCTAGTAGTACGAGTGAGTCTATGCGCGTGAGCCTGCGCATGGCTAAGCTTAGGGTGAGGAGAGTGTCTGCACTTCAGTGGCCTGAGCATGACTGAGCGTGACTGAATCCTCCTGGGGTCTCTTGGGGCTTCCTGGGGCTTCCTCGGGTCTCCTAGGGCTCATGGGGCCTCCTGGGGCATCTTGGGGCTTGCTGGGGCCATCTGGGGCTTCCTTGTGCCTCCTGGAACTCCTGGGACCTCCTGCGGCTTCCTGGAGCCTCCTGGGGCCTCTTGGGGACTCCTGGGGCCTCTTGGGGACTGCTCCTCATTGAGCCTCCTGGGGCTTCCTGAGGCCTCTTGGGGCTTCTTTGGGCCTTCCTGGCGCTTCCTGGTGACTGAGCCTCCTGAGACCTCTTGAGTCATTCCTGGCGTTTCCTGGGGCTTCCCCGGGCCTCTTGAAGCCTCCAGGTACCTCTCGGGGCTTCCTGTGGCTTTCTGAAATCTCCTGGGACCTTCTGGGGCCTCCTGTGCCTTCCTGGAGCCTCCTGGGGAGGATTCGTGCCCCAAAGAAACCCCCAAAGGCCCCCCAAGAAGCCCAAGGAGGCCTCCAAAGGCCCCCATGAAGTGACCAAGGAAGCGCCCAGGAGGTCCTGAGGGTGCCCCGAAAGCTTCAAAGAGTCCTCCTCCCCCTCCTCCTCCTCTCCTCCTCCTCCTCCTCCTCCTCCTCCTCCTCCTCCTCCTCCTCCTCTTCCTCCTCCTCCTCCTCCTCCTCCTCCTTTTTCATCCCTCGCCCACTTCCTCCGAACTCTGGCCACAACCTTCGGCCACCTAGGCGCTTCCAGAAGGCAGGGGGGGCGGCGATTGGCCGTGGGCGCCTTCGATACTAGTTGGCTACAGCAGATGCAATCAAACGTCTGTCAGGAATACGTTCGTAGAGGCTTGCTAGATGGGGTCCGAGCACCTGTTGTCGAAGGATCGCGCCGCATCGCCATTGCATCGCTGATGTATCGGCGATGCAACGGCGATGCATCGACGACGTCGGCTATCGGCGACGTCGGCGTGGGGAGACACTGTCTCCACAGCGAGCCGCATCGACGATGCAGCGGCGATGCGGCGCGATCCTCCGACCCCATCTGCTCGGACCCCTTCCAGGAGGCCTATAGTTCAAGCGCTGCTGGCGTGCTGTTTCTGCGACATCCCTCCCCAGTCTAAGGAGGCCGGGGCTGTCGTCTCGGAGCGGGGCTGCCGTTGCGTACTTCCTTGAACGTTGTGGCCCCACCTTGTCGCTTCCCTGACAGCCCGAAGGACGAGGCAGCTCCTCTCAACAAGGAGCTCCGTCCGAGTCGCCGCCCACACGGGGCGCCCGGCTTTCAACAAGGGGAACGCCTCGCGCAGTGAGAGAAAAGTGTTCGCATGGACACGCGAGGGGAGAAACTCGTGACGGCAGAGTGCCTTCGCCCCCCTCCCCGGCCCTCATCCTCCCACACGGCGGTGCGATCGGGCCCTGGCGGCGGGGTCCTTGGTCATGAGCACGAGCTCGAAGTCGGCGGTCTCCGTGCCCCGGTAGGCCTTCGAGAGCACGGACTGCAACTGAAGGGCCGCGCGCGGTCGCAGGAGCGCAGCGGTCGACGCGGGCAGCGCGGCCCCGGGGGTCGCCCGATTCCTCGCCGGGCGCTGCGCGGAAAGCGGCGCAGCGCGACCGCAACGCGCGGCCATCTTCGCACCCCCTCGCCGCGGCGCCGTGGTGGAGGGGACGGCAGCCCTGCCGCCTTTGGGGGGGGGTGGGCAGGCCAACGGAGCGCCCAACGCTCTTTCGCGCTTGCAGCGCCCAGGAGATATCACGCTCACGCGCAGGGGCCGTTGACCAGAAATGTTGGGAGAACTGTGAAGACGGATCTGCTCTGTGAAACGGAAATGCGCAATGCATTGTACAGTGGGCGCGGGAAGCATGTTTATAATCCACATGGAAGCGGGGTACCAGGCCTTCCCACACACACACACACGACATACTTGCTAAAAGAAAAGGTTATCTACGTTAGAATATGATGTTCAAGCGGGTCCGTCGTGCCTCCCAGGAAGCAAACCGTCCAGACCACCACCGAGACACGACAGACTAGCCACGCGAAATAGTTGCAGCATGGGGCAGGGCAAGGAAATGGTTCTACGACTCACCACTCTCATCCAAAGTTGCACCGCGCGGGGGACCTGTTGACCAGGCTCTCATAAAAAAACAGCTGCGTTTTTATGACACAAGAGAAAGACTGGCAGCTGGCTACTAGTGGAGCACAACATAGATTTTCAAATGTTCAAAAAGCAACGGTCTGCTGCCCCACGAACACGCGTCATGGTGCCATTCCTTTATTGGCGTGGCTCGCTACGTCGCATTCGCGGACATAGTTCGTGACATGCGAGTATCGTTGTACTTCTTTCCCTGATGTATTATGCCGCACTCGCGAACACAATTCGCGATTTGCGAATCAGCGGTCGTCGCATTCGCGAACGCAGTCCAGACAGGCGACGCCGAAAAGGGTTACACAATGGCGTCGTCGTTGTCCATTTTGGGGCCAGCGTGGCGAGAGCTTGACACCGTGTTCTTCTGCCGCTCCTCGCTCAACCTCGTTGCGGTGTGCGCAGGCGAAATTCCTCTCCATGCTGTCGAAGAACAGCTCCCAGCCGATGCTTCCCTTCGTCATGGGGTCGGCCCTCATGTCGCGGGCGTCGCGTCACTGCGCGTCGGATGCATGCTTGGTGCGCGCATGGTCTTCTAACCGTCTTTGTTGCCCTGCCATTCTCCTATTTAATGGCGACCGCACGCGGTCCATGGCCAGGGCGGAGAAGACACATAGACCGTCCACGACCATCTCGGCAGGCACCGCGTAACCACTCTTTTCCCTCAGCCTGCTGATCCCATCTGCTGAGGCGGGTCTGCGCGCCGTCTCGTGGAGCGCCAGGAGGTGGGCCTGTAGGCCGCATGCTGCTCCACATGCTGCGAGCAGCTCGAAGCCGAATGAAAATCTACGCGCGAGATTGCACGATCGGCTCACTGCGTCGAGCAGGTGGCTGATATGTTCACCCATGCTGCGGCACCCGCCCAGGCGTGCGCATACGGCGCCGCGCGTGCCGAATCCTGCCCCCTCCTCGCGCTTGAACGAGCCGTCGATGCGCACTCGGATCTGGCCTGCGCACTCCATCGCCGGAAAGGCGACGCGCGCTTCGATCTCCTGCGCAGCGAAAACAAAAAACTTGAGCGGCATGCGGCGCCTGATGAGCAGCTTGCTCGCGGCCCGTTGCAGCGCGACGATGTAGACTGCACCGCGATGTTGCGCGAACGCCGCAAAGGCGGCTGCTCCGAGGGCGGAGACGAGGAGGTCTGTGAGAGGACCTCTGGCCGGCTCGTCGGCTCTCGTCTTGGCGAGGTCGACGCGCCCGATGGGATCATTGCGTCGAAGTGCTCGTCCTGGTCGCGCGCCGCTGAGCCGTCGGCGCTGCGGCGCTGGCGGGCGCCGCTGTTAGTGTACTTGTTGTAATCGCATTTCATTTTGCCCGAAGTCGCTCTGCGTGGCCGAACAGCCAGTTACCGCGCTTCTTGCGCCCGGCGATCTACATGTCGTCGACGCGCCCAGACAGCATGATCACTAACTGCGAGCCATCGGCGCCAAAATTGCCAAACGCCTCGCGCTTGACCTCTAGCTCCGGGCCCCAACGCGTCGGCTTGTCGGCTTGGCGTTGCGCTAGGGCGAGCGCGTGTCCCCAGCGAGCTTCGCGCATCCTTGCAGCCCGTGCCCGGCCTGATGCGGCGCGGGCCCTCGGCCCGCTCGTCGAAGGATTCGCCCCTGGGACCTCTGCCTGAGGATGGCCGCGCTGCCACGCGCCATGAGGTCCACCTCTCTCGGTGACCCCCCTGCTACTGCATCTCGGCATAGGCCGTGCCCCACAGGAAGGCATTCGCGACGCGCGCGGCGACGTGCACCCAGTCTAGGCGACAAGCCGCCACTGAGGACAAAAAACGCCGAGGCGCCCGAATCGCCGCGCTGGACAATGTCTGCAGGGCCCCGGCGCCCCTGTCGCGAAGGCCTCCCAGCGCCGCGCGGCGCCAGGTGATCCTGGCGGTCTCGCCGCCCGACCCCCGCCAGTGCTTCGATTTGAACGCGCGCCTGGAGCCCATGATGTTCCAAGCGCCTTCGAGAGAGCGTCGCTCGAAACATTCGATGTACTTGGCCCGGATGGTGAGCTCTTCGAGGCCAGCCTCGACGCCTTCTCTGCGGTCAGGAGATCGGCGTCGCGCTTGGTTGCCGCGGTCTCGACAGCGGCGTAGACCTTAAGCACGGCTGTGGTGGGCCCGCAGGCAACGTAGCTGCCATCGCGGCAGCTCAGACATGATTCTCGCACTCCTGGGTCTATGTATAACTCGTCGTGTTTTCTTCCTCTCTCCTCCTCCCCAGGATTGGCGATGCGGTTTAAAGTGGCGCCGCGCGGGTAGTAGCGACGCTGCGCGTGGATGTGCTGACGACGGCGCTGAGCCCCCATGTGCTGGAGCCCCTCGCGCGGCCCGCGGCTTATGCTGACGGCCGCGTGCTCGACGGCAGAGTGAACCATCTGCTGGCTCTGGGGGCCCTCCAGCTCCTGTAGCTCCTGGGCCCGACCCTCCGCGCCTTCGACCGCCTGCTAGCCTGCCCCAACATCGCCTGTTGGGAGCGGGTGAACAAGTCGCTGTCGGCCTCTTCGGGCATCGCCGACAAAGCTGACGGTAGACCACTGTCGGTGACGCCGGAGGCGTCCGCGGGGACGTCGACGACGCAAACGTCGAACGCCCTGTCCTGGCTCCGCCCAGCGTCGGCTGCCAGTACTCGTTCATCACCCGGGGCGAACTAGATGATGCGAGCGCCCTTCCACTCCTCGCCGAAGCGACTGTGGGCGTCGACCCTGGCGCCGTCCAAATGCAATTGGTAGACGTCGCTTGGGTTCCGATGGGAACCGCCACGTGGTCAGGTTGCGGTTGCAGCCAGGCCAGTCGCCCACGCATTTCCGACCGCGCACGAGGCTTGCGGAACGAGCGCCAGGTAGCTGACAGCATCTGCGGGACAAGTGGCGCAGAGCATCGTGGACATCAGGGCGTCGCCGAGCCTGCTCGGGCTGCCTGCCCTGCTCGTGCTCCAATTGGCCGCAGGACCTGGCCCCTGAGCCTGGCGCGACGTGTTCTAGGATACGATCCCAGGCCAGTCCTGATCGCGCCATGCCAGTGCCCGCGCCGTCGATTACGGCACCGATGACGGCCCCCGCGCCCTGCAGTCTGCAGACAATCTCGCCTCCGGCCGGGCCCGCGGCAAGGGCGGCGCGATGACCTGCCCGGCCCGACGCGACTCCTCTCCGAGTCTCGGCGGCGCGTGCGCGGAGGGCGCGGTGAACGCGGGCGATCGAGGTAGCCCCGATCATGCGCTGCAGGGCGATATTGCGGATGCGCCGCCGCATTCGGCTGGGCGGCGCCTCGCCACAGGCGGCGGGGCCGGCTCCGACGACATAGTCGCCCTCGCTCTCCTCGTCTGCTTCCCGCGGTTGCAGCATGGGGGGCCGCCTGCCGAAGACAACGCTGCACGGCGCAACGCGGCCCACGTGGGTGGGGCTGTTGCCGGCGAAGATGGCGTGGAAGAGCACGGGGTCGAAGTTGGCGGTGGCACCGTCACGCTCCAACTGCCCCGCGGCGGCGCGCAGCGCGCGTCGTCGCATTGCGCCGAGTCGCTCTAGTAAGCGAAAGTGTTGGCGTGAAGCACGGATGTCCACCTAGGCCCCTCTCCTCCTCATCTCCTCCGCGGAAGTACATGGAGGTCACCCTGCCTTCGCCGTCCACGATGAAGGTCTCCATTGATACACAGAGCCGGGTCCAGGATCTGTCAATTGCGCCAGCAGCATTGGGCCGCATCTGTCCGCGATCTCCTGGCCGTTGCGCCACCCTGAGGCGCCGCAGAAGCATGCGATCCTTGGAACTGCGTCGCATTCAACGCGCTGGTTAGATAGCGTCGACAGGCGCAGCCTGGGCATTGTTTGGCGTGCCGGTGGTGGCCACTCACGACTTGCCTGACAGATGTTGACCACTGTGGGGATGAAATAAAGGATTGCCTGTGGCACGTTGGCTGCGCGCAGTGCTCGTGCCATTTCCTCCTTATGGTGGCGCGCCACCACCGGAGATGTAGCTCGCGTGGCTCGCGCGTGCTTGTCCCGCCTGAATCGCCATGTTACTCTGTTAGTGACGAGGCGATGCCGAAGCGAATTCAGTCTGCAGGCGGCGGGTTGCCAAGAGCAGCATCGGCAGCTCGCGGCGCTGCCCGTCTCGGCGCGGCGCTGGTTGCTGGACGGGCTCGCAGTCGTGGACCTGCAACGCAGATGCCAAATCCACTACCCTGAGCCCCAGCGCTGGAGGATGAGCTGGCTCCTCGCGTACTGGACGGCGCAGATGGAAGTGCTGCCTCGTCGGCTGCTCTGAGGTCGGCTCCTCCAGGTAGTTGAGCCTGCTGTTTGCTGATTGGGCGTGGTCCTCCAGGTCGTGCTGGTGTGCTGGTGGTCGTGGAGACTGGCCAATGCGTGCGCGCGGCCGTGCATGTGGATCCGCGCGCCTAGACTTGCTGGACTCGTGGGCGCGTCCTGGATGATCGCGTTCCTGGCGCCGTCCTCATCAGCGTATTGGGTCTTGTCTTCTGTCGTGTGGATTGGCGCGCGGACTGCGCTTGGAGCACCCCGCCACAAAATGGCGAGACAACTCGTCGTGCGACATGTTGTGGCTGCACTACTGAGCGCTGCCAAAAACATGATAATTAAAAGGAGTACGAAGCGCGCAGGTAACAGTGATGGTCTTGCACCCGGAGAACCAGCAACGAGCACTCCCAAGTGTGTGTAACACCGCCCCGGAAGAATGGCTACATAGTTTCCCGACCGTCCGTTGTATTCCCTCTCTTGCCTGCGCGCGCCTCCCCCGGTTTCTCGGAGAGCTGGGGGCGCCTTGCCGACGCCGACGATGTGAGCGTTTGAGCGAATGCTTGACATGGCCGGCTCCACCCACATGTGGACGCAATGAGGGCGGTGCACCCTTTTCCTCTTCCCCCTCGGGCTTCCGCGACACAGTTGCAAATAGCTCGGGGCCCTGCGCCGACACCGTGAGCGTGGAAGTCGGAGCGCTCGGCGGTATGACGATGACGGCGGCACTCACAGGCGAGTGCTGCTATGACGATGGGCCCCCGAGCATCTCGAACACAATTCAAGTGCCCGCGGGAGGACAACGGGGCGCGGGGGGCGCCGTCCTTGACGTCGTAATCCTTGTGGTGGTACTCGTGCAATTCCTGTTCCGCTGCTCCTGGCGCCTGGGCGGCGGCGCCGGCCTGGACGAAGCAGACGAAGCTTGCGAAAGCGGATGTAGAACGGGTCGGCGCAGACGTCGATGTAGAACGGGCACCAGGGGCGCGAGGCATTGCCGCGAGGGCCGTAGATCACGGAACAGCGCACTCCGCTACCAACTAGAAGTGCAAAGTGGGGTGTGACCACGGATGTCTTCTAGCAAGCGGAATGTACGGCGGGAAGGTGTGTGCAATACGCTGTATAGCAGGCGCGGGGGGCATGTCTATAAACCAAATGGAATCGGACACCAAGGCTCTCCCACACACAGCAATTTACTAAAAGAAGACATGATCTACCCTTCGAGTCGTCTTGTGCCGAGGAGGGCCCAGCGGAGAGTTCCCAGGAAGTGGGGCGGCCCGCCCGGGGGGGAAGTGAAACGGGCGCTCCCTTCGCCTTCTGACGAGTTTCGCCTTCTCCGAAGACACAGAAACTTCGCAGAAGGGGCGCGGGCTTCTCAAAGCCCCGCCGCCGTCTGAGAAGGGTTTCTCCTTCTCATTTCCCCCCCTCGCTCGCCGCCGAGTGGCAGTAGCGATGGAATGTCGGTCACTGGTGGCGGGAGGCACTCTCGGGACGGCATCGTAATGACAGGAAGGGGAAAGAAGGGGAGCAACAGAGAGGTGCGGGAGAAGAGACGGCAGGAGGAAGGAAAAGGGAAAGATGGGAGGCTGGGAAGAGACAGCGAGGGCAGGCGTAGAGGATGGAGTAAATGACCCGCCTCCTGGATGCAGTCTGCAGCGACGAAGTCTGTAGCAGGCCTGCCTATGGCCTCCTCCTTGGAATATCTGGTCAAATCTGCTGCTTTTCTGTTGAAGACGCTGATTCGGCCGTCCACGTCGACCCCAAAGATCGGGGCATTAGCACTCTCTATGATTCTCGAATGGTCTTCTGAAACGAGCCTGCTTTCTGTCAACGCTCCCTTCATAATGGAAATGTCCAGTCCCAGCCCGACAGCTCCTGTCACCTTACCACCCGCATCGCGACGAGGCGATACATTGAGCAGGATGTCGACATTTGTGCCGTCCTTTTTCGCCAGAGAGACATCGAAGTACGCGGTCTCGGACCCACTGTAGGCCTTCGCCACGACTCCCCGCACCGTGCTCCGCTGCTCCTCGCGGACGAACACCTCCACCAGACTCTTGCCAACAGCGTCCGCCTTGGAGAACTGGGTCATCTCTGCCACCTGGACGACGAACAGAGAGGGGTCTTACCGTGGAGGCCAGTCCACAAGAAACCTTCCACAAGAAGCCCAACCCTGAGACCCCATGGCGCCCATTGATTTTTTGGTCTGGGAAGGTCACGCTTGCCATCGCAGAACCATCGAAACCCAAGAAACCCAGAGCACCCTGGAGCCAAGCAGGGTGCTTCTTGGCATGGGCCTCCACGGCACGCGAGATGACACACGGCGACCTCGCGTTCGGTGGACTGCTCAGGCCGCCGGCGCGAAAGCGCTGCATTGGAAGCAGAGGCGCTCGCGCGCGACCTCACGCGGGCGGCTTGCGCGCGAACGCCCGCGTAAAGTCGACCCCACTTCTTCCGCCGCTCACCTTGCCGTTCCACTCGGTGACGCACCCGTCCATACCGACGGCAAAGATCGGCGCGCTGGCGAACTCCACCAGCCGCGACAGGTCCTCCGCGGCAGCACCGCCCCCGGCCAGGGGCTCGCCGCCAGCGGCAGCGACCGGCGCCTTGACGTGCCCGCCCAGCACCACGCGCGTGGCCTTGCCCTCGGGGTCCTTCGGGGGAGGGTGGCGCGGCACTGAGAGGCAGCAGTGCGGCACCGGGCGGCACTTCGCGGGCGTCGCTCCCCTGCGATGAGCGCTCCCTGGCGTGACGAGGACGGGAACGACGACGACGAGCCCCTGAAAAACCGATGCCCGTCCCGGGACGCACAGATGCTAAGGACTGCGCTGCATTCGGAGATTCTGTGCACCCCTCCCAACCTGCCAACGGCACGCACACATCGACAGGGACGAGGAGGAGCAACATCGGGATCGTTACCGCATGATCCCTGCCGAACTGTGGATTAGTCAGAAATCCCTCCACGGAAAGGCGCAGGTCACTTGATGAAAGACGCGCGTGCACGTGCACACAGACGCACACAAACACACACACACACACACACACACACACACGTGCACGCGCCAACACACAAGCGCACAAGCACACGCACTCCCAAGCGCGTAAACAAACACATATACACATACCTTTGTGGCGTCGCCACCGCTCGCGCAGCGACGCGGGGGCGTCTGGCACGCCCGGCGCGCGTCCCAATGACGAAACGCATCGCGCTCACTCCGAGGCAGCCCCGGCGATGCCGCACGGGGCCCACCTGCGGGGAGGCGCGCCACGCAGGGACTCACGGAGGGAGCACCCGCCAGGAGGGGACGGATACCACCAGCACGACTTGATCGGGCATGCAGTGTTGCACGCGTGCATACACTTGTTTTGCTCGGCGAGCGCGCGCGCGAATGGCGACACACACACACACACACACTTTAACAGCCAAGTGGAGAGCAGAGCGGCAGAGGAGGAGTGAGGGGACACACGCTTATTTCCGTCGGCGGCTCGGCAGAGCGCTGGCGAGGAAGCAAAACGGGGCTGCCGTTAAGCAAAGACGGGGAACACACACAAACATACACACATACACACCACATCTTCCAACTTCCTCCGCGACGTGCGGCGCCATAGTGCCGTGCGCTGGCGGAGGACGTAACTACACGCAGCTTGCCCCCGCAAATGTGTGGCGAACGCGCCCCAAAACACACACACACACACACACACACACACACGCTGCTGCTGCTGCTGCTGCTGCTGCTGCTGCTGCTGCTGCTGCTGCTGCTGCTGCCAACGGCTGTAAGAGACGATGTCTGTCGCCGTGCTCGCACACTCGCTCCTCCTCCTCCTCCTCCTCCTCCGACGCGCCGCATCCCTCGGTGGTCCAGCGGCAGCGGGGCGCGCAGGCACGCGCCGCCAAACGTGCTTGTGACGAGCGCGCTCGAGCGCACGCGGTGCTCTCCGTCATCGGGGGCGGCCGCGGACAACGTGAGCGAGTCGGCGGCGCGAGCACGCGCGCAGCCGGGCAGAGACTTCGGCGGAGCGCCGGGCGCCGCTGCCAGAAGCGAGAGCGCGACGGGTGACGAGACGGAGGCGAGAGGCAGCAGCAGCGAGAGGACGGCGCGACGACGGCGACGGAGGGACCGGCGGAGGCCCGGGCCAGGAGCGCGTGGGGGGACACGGAGGACAGCGAGCGACGAGGCGAGCCCCGAGCAGCGGCAACTCGGCAGGGCCCGGCGCGCCGCGGCGGAGCCCGGGCGCAGCGCAGCGGCAGGCCCACGGACCGGGGAGAGGACAGCAAGCGGCGCGAGCATCCGCACACACACTCTTGATCCGCGGGTCGAGGGCGCACCTCTTCCGGTCGGCGCCGAGCGGGCCGCGCGAAGCTCGAATGAGGCAGAGCAGAGGAGGGAGGGAGCGGCGGAGCCTCCGAGCGAGGCCGAGGGGAGGCACAGCCTCCTCCTCCTCCTCCTCCTCCTCCTCCTCCTACTCCTCCTCCTCCTCGATCCTCCTCCTCCTTAACCCTCCTCCTCCTCGACCCTCCTCCTCCTTAACCCTCCTCCTCCTCCTCCTCCTCCTCCTCCTCCAACTCCTCCTCCTCCTCCTCCTCCTCCTCCTCCTCTTTTGGTTCAGCAGCGCAGGCGAGCGCCAACGCGGTCGGAGCCCGGCAGGCCCGCGCGGCAGTGGCACACTGGGCACAGGGAAAAACAGACGGGGCGGCCGCAGAGAGGGGGAGCCTCCTCCTCCTCCTCCTCCTCCTCCTCCTCCTCCCGCGTAGAGAGTCCACACCACGAGGAGTGCGCGGGATGCCTCAGGTACCGAAAACTGGTGCACTGAAAGGTGCCCCCCCCACACACAGAAGCACGCACGCGCACTTCTCCTCCACGGCCGGCGATGTGAGACCACTCGCACGCACGCGCGCGCACACACCTTTCCGTCGGCGGCTAGGCAGAGTCACTGCGCTGGCGATGGGGCGTAAGTAGGATGCACGAAACGCGAACTAAGCCGCAAGTCGGGCGCACACACACAAACACACACACACGCACACACACACACGCACTCACTTCTAACGTTAGTGGCCCGATGATGCACCAATCGAGCGGTGTAGACACATCGGGCATGTCAGCTGGCGGCGATCAGGTCACTGAGACTTGAAGGGCACGCCCAGTCGCAGGGGATACGGTTAGGTCGGGCGTGCCCCCCTACAGGAGGATTTGGGACGAAAAATTAAACATGGTCAAAAAGTACATCAAACAAATTCCAAACAAATTAAAAGATAGTCTCCTGACTATTCTTCGACTATGTCAGAATATTCCGCCTGTAGAGGCACAGGCCCGACTGAAGGATGCGGTCGTGAATTCTTCCTTCGCGTGCCGCGGCGGCGACCACGGCGACACGCAGTGCCGGTGCGGGCGGACGGCGCTTCGCTCCGCTCCGCGGGGCGGGCGGCGCGGAGAAGCTCGGGGCATCGGCGGTAAGGCAAGGGGACGCGGCCAGCGCGTCGCGCCCGAGGCGCGGGTGGGCCAACACCGACGGCGCGACGCGCAGAGCCAGAGTTCCCGAGCGTGGGGCAGGGGAGGAGGAGGATAAAAGGAGGAGGAGGAGGAGGAGGAGGAGGAATTAGGAGGAGAGGAGGAGGAGAGGAAGAGGAGGATGAGGAGGAGGAAAAGGAGGAGGAGGAGGAGGAGGAGGAGGAGAAGGATGAGGAGAAGGATTGGAGAGGAGAAGGAGGATCGGAGGAGGAGGAGGAGCAGGGAAGGAGGGAGGATTGGAAGGAGGAAGGAGATTGGAGGAGGAGGGAGGAGGAGGAGGAGGAAGAAGTGGAGTAGGAGGAGGAGGCGGAGGAGGAGGATGGAGGACGATGGGGAGAGGAGGAGGGATGGAGGAGGCGGTTGGAGGAGGGGGAGGCAGGAGGAGGGGAGTGGAGGAGGAGGATTGGAGGAGGATGGAGGATTGGGAGGAGGAGGAGGAGGAGGATTGGAGGGAGGAGAGGAGGAGGAGGAGGAGGAGGAGGAGGAGGAGGAGGACGAGGAGGATTGGAGGCGGAGAAGGAGGAGAGGAGGAGGAGGAGGAGGAGGAGGGAGGAGGAGGAGGAGGAGGGAGGAGGAGGAGGAGGAGCGAACGAACCCCCGGAGGAGGAAGGAGGAGGAGGAGGAGGAGAGAGGAGCGAGGAGGAGGAGGAGTAGGAGTAGGAGTAGGAGTAGGAGTAGGAGGAGGAGGAGGAGGAGGAGGAGGAGGAGGAGTAGGAGGAGGAGGAGGAGGAGGAGGAGGAGGAGGAGGAGGAGGAGGAGGAGGGGGAGCAGGAGTAGGATTCGAGGAGGATTGGGGGAGGATTGGAGGAGGAGGGGGATTGGAGGAGGATAAGAGGAGGGGGATTCCTGGGATTCCTGGTGGCGGGCTCCTGAGTGCAAGCTCAGCCCCTATACCTCATTCGCGCCTCAGGGAAACTCATGCCGTACTTAGGCGGGAGTCCCCTCTTCAACCTGCTGAGATTCTGCTTCCCTGTAGTGCTACAGGGCCTGGGGTGCACCTGGTCACGCAGAGGGCAGATCAAAGCCAGATTCACAGGGGTCCCTACACAAAAATTTCCACATGCAGCACAAAAAAGAACTCCTCGGTACACATACAACTGGTGTGAGGAATGGCACAGTGAAACACTCGGATGATGACCGCCATCGGGCCCGACTGGCTTCCACGGACCGATCCCAGCGGAGGGCCCATCCCTCGAAGCGGGACCCAACACCACGGGGCCAGGACAGGCCTCAGGCCAAAACTGATCCAAGCGGCCTTTCAAGGCAGGGAAACGTCTGGCACATAACTTACATTTAAAAACAGTGCTCATCTTCAGGACATCATGTCCTTGTTGGACGAGGCGGCATTTACGTTGGTTGGCACTATTAACCCTAGCTCTCTCTCGGTGTTGCTCGCGGCCTAGTCTATCTTGGCGGGTACGACCACAGGTCAACGACACGTGACGACTGATAGCTAGGAGCCGCTGCAACACGAGGACACAACAGGAATCGACGCTATGCACTGTTCTGACTAATTCAGGATCCAAAGCCCCCCATTCGGCAGCCACCCCAGCGAAGACATCTGCAACCGAATTAGCAACAAGGCCGTGGGGAGAGATCTGGTACTGGTCGATCTGTCTCCTGGTAGGATGACTTTTAACCCAGGTCGCACGAACATCACCTGGTCGTCTCTCAAGAGTGGTCCAAACTTTTTGCCATATGTCCAGCATGGTAGAGTCATCCACCCGTGCTCCTTTCCTTCTGAAGGCCAAGACAATAGGCTGGTAATCAATGTAAACGTGAATTGGGCCCTCGGTGTAAACCAAGAGCTGATGTAGTGCAAATAGTTCTGCTCGAGGAGAGCTCTGCACACACATACCAACAGTAGGCAGGGTCCCACAAAGGATACCTCGAACTTCTAGGGAATCAGGGTCCAGGTGAACAACAGACCATCCGCATCTCCTCAACCTCCAATCCTTGCCGTGTTCTCCTCCCGAACCGTCAGTCCCAAACACTCCTCCAACAATTTTAACTCCAGAGCTGATGGACTCAAGGAAAGATCCCCAGGCCCAAACACGGAGCTGCCCATCAGGAAGGTCATCCATCGTCCAGCCCATGGGGACCAACCCTCGGGTCCAAAAACAAGACGCGTCAGTGACCCCTTGGCG